CCGCTTCGGCCGCGGGGGTTTTAGGTGCTGGAATTCATAAAACCGCTGGGATTCAAAGGATGAAAGTTGATTTTTATTTTTCGTGAGTGAGCTGGTAGCAGCGCTGGTGGCTTCAGTGACTTACAAGTATGTGCGGGGAAAAAAAAAATCAGGTCTGATCCTCCTGCTTTGGAAATGAGCTTTTTCGAATATCGGAGAGCCTCAATAAAATCTGGGTGAATGGGCCACTCGTGTTAAAAGTAGTAGGTCTGTCTGTGAGCAGGATCCAGACTTAAGTAACCTGTGGAATACACTCAAAAAAAAAAAAAACGAAATAATAATAATACAGGGAGAGGGGGAAAGGCAGAGGGGAGGAAGATGTGATAGGTCTTTCTTTGCGAAAACCTATCCTTTGACTACCTTAGGGGAAGGGGGAGTCCTGTCCATAATAACAATACTTATAACAATGCTTTATTATCTCACTAAGGAAAGTAATGCTATTTTTTCTTTGTTCTCATTTTATTTTAAACTGTCTTTTTTTTCCCAGGATTGTAGGTATTTCTAGGGTCTATTTATTTCCTGTTAGTTAGATACTATCTGACTGTCCATAGCAACGTTGATAAACCAGCTAAATCAGAGTTTCTGAAATTCTGTATGGATAATGTAGTCTGATATATACCGAGTGCTATCTATCTATCTATCAAAAAGCTCTGTTCTTCCCCTCTCCTATTTTTATTTTTATTTATTTATTTATTTATTTTGTTGTGTGTGTTTTGTCTCGTAAAAGTCCTTAAAGCTGAATATTTAGCTATTCAGGGGGTTTGTATGCCCTTTTTAGTTCTCCAGCTCCTCCTTTTTCCGTAGCCTTCCTATATTATGCATGTACAAATTGCAAAAATGTCAGAAAGGGGGGGGGCTTGTAATTGTAGTTCACCTTTACTGCAAGAATATAACCACTAGCTATCTTAGATTATACAGTCATTCAAGTTCTTGTTGCCGTAGGCTATTATTATTTGAATAGAAATATTTTTGATGCACGTCTTATGGCTTCAGATGGAGGAATAACTCTCTTTTTTTATTTATGCAAGACTTGGATTGGAGATATATGTGGAATGCATGAGACAATGTTTTTTCTTTTTTTGTGCGTGTTTTTCTTTATTATTTCTATTCAGACTAACTACAATTAAAAATGCATGTTCCAAAGGAGATATTCAGTAATAAACTACCTGTAAATTAGAGTTGGTAGATGCTTATAAGGTTTGATCGCAAATGTTCTTGGCTCTTAAAAGTAAAAGCAATAGTGACTATTTCCAAATTAACATTCATAAGTGAATGCCCTACTTTGTGTTAAGTTCTAAAAATATTTTATTTTACTTGATCTTTACAGCTGGAACCTTTAGGTCAACAACAAAGAGGACAGAACAATGGGAGTGACTAATCTGTGGCAAATCCTTGAACCTGTGAAACAACCTGTCATCTTG